ACTCGGTTGATTTATTGACACTCCGGCCGTAAAACGAAAGCCGCAGATGCTTTCTAGAGAGGATCAGGTGCTTGGAGTGAAACCGGCACCGGCTACACGTATCGACGGCATGATACAGTGAATGCTGGTCTCAAACCATACACGGCATGATACAATACATGCTGTCCATAAACCACCAAACACATGGCATCAAATGAATAGGTACTTATTGTTTGAAAATTGATTACTACTAACCACTATTAACCAGTATTGCACTAATTAATCTATTAGTTAACTAATTGATGAGGCACCTGAGACGACACTACTGTATAATTAACTCGGCGAAAGCATGAATATTCAAGATGATATGGGATATCAAACCCTACCACAATTAGGTTTGCCATGTTATTCATAATTGAAGATGTTTACATGTATGCTTATCATAATATCTCAAACTTTGAGCACTACGGTGGCGCATCATTATCTTTTACCTTATGTTTAATTTTGTTTGAGATTTTGTCTTGGAAATCCAAAATCCAGAGAACTACTCTTGCTATCATACACTTTTAGATTTATTGGCGATAAATAATTGAAGAATCTTGAGTGTCAAGTACTATACATCTTTATCATCTCCTTTGACTTCCTCCACAGGCCAATGCCAGCCAAGTACCGTTCCGTGGACGGAGCTGCTCAGGAGGTGCTGGGACTGCCGGGTCTAGAGGTCCTGGAGAAGCTAGGACTGGGAAGGTTGGATGGTGCAGACTGCGAGAGGAGGGCCTTCTGTGAGTTGGCGGTGTTGGGAGGAAAACCGGAGGGAAACACGGCTCAGCGGGGTCTGTGGAAACTAGCCAACAGGTGGGTAATGCTGGAGAAAAAGGATGGTTCCTCTTTTTTAAATACTTCATAACTTTTCTTTTATTATTTCGTTATTTCATAACCGGTCATGTTATGTTATGTATAAGGTATGTTAGATTAGGTTGCGTGAGGTAAAATGAGATATAAAATGACAACATTTATTGTAGACTACAATGAATAATATGAAAACAAAAGATAGTTGTAATCGATTGACGGAACACACCTTTTTAGCCTATATTTATTTCTTGAATTTTTTCTGTAGGTCTCTATAACCATTCCTCAATTTGATTGCACAAAAGAAATAGAATGTTGCAGCATAGACAATACAATAGGTCCCAACACACCATAATACAACAACATGCTTGATTGTCTGCCATTTGGATTTATTTCGAAATAGTTTGTTACCTATAATAAACATACGTAAATTGAATTTGTTCTGATCTAAAAAGAGGAACTATGTCTTTTAATTTTAAGTAAAATTGATTAAATAGTTTTAAAAATAAACATTAAACTTGTAAAATATTATGTTTTCTTATACAGTATACCGGTTAAAAGCAAATATCCATATCTATTATGAGCCTTTCTCCATACTTGATTATATTTACAGTAATATTTGTCTTGTGTAGTTCTCTCTGTATTGTCTTATATTCTTTCACATAACACAAAAATGGCATGTAAGTGATACCAACTCATTATTTTTGGTGATTCGCATTTCTCTACGTCAGCGCCCCTTTCCTTTGAAATTAAATCTTTCAATCGATATATGATTGTATTGTTGAGCTGGCCTAGAGATGGGAACAATTAAGCATCATTATGACAACTAAGTTTAATATTGTTCAACATTTCGAGAAGTTATTTAAGTAGAACGATAGCTAAACAAAACCTTGGCAAAGATCCACCTCTTTAGACTTTCCAATAACTTCAAACTACACCAGCTTCCAGCTTGTAGTCCAGCAAAACACTATTCGCAACACATTAATCACAAAACCGCAGAAACATCGATGTACCCTAATTAAATACGAGATTTATCAAACATCACCGACTGTAAATTAAATTTCCCCTGAGAGTCGGTCTGTTTGTTGTGGCAATTTATAGTATGAGGTCGGGACCGGTCAGGGGACATCATAGAGCAATTAATATGGGGAAACCTAGCACAAGTGCAGTAGTCATGCATCTTTGTACTCTGTGCATTCCTGTGCTCTGGGCGCAACTGCTACCTGTCATCAGAGAGGTGAAGTGGAATAATTGGACAAGTGAAGTTCTCTGATCTATCAGGAACTACTTTCATACAGGCTCCACTGCGAATGTGGTGCATTTATGCATTTCCTGTCTTTTCTCCTGTGGGGCTCGAATATCCATGCATATCTTAGAACACAGTCCATTTGATTAATACTTTTGAGGTCCATAACAAGATAAAAGGCTGTACCAACAGAATAAAATATACTTTAGTTACCTAATCACAGTTTATTGTTGGTTATTGTGGGATTATGTTGATTTGGGGCTTATTGTTGATGTTTTCCACCATTCGTTAGTAGAACGTAATCACAGACTCACGACCTTTCAGGATCTGGAACGTCACGAACCATTCAGGTGGAAAGGGACCTAAAAAAATAAAAGACTATTAATGTCCTAACATTTTAATTAAAGTTCAAAATTTCAAGTTATTTCACAACAATTAATTTGTTCACAACATGAGGAGCACTAAACCCCTCAGTGCAGAAGACAAAAATAAACCAAATAGTGTAGCTCTCCCTCTTCTTGAAATATCCAATACAGTATTACACTTTTTTATCAATCAAACTGTATAAATTGTATATACCTTTTTTCAGCATTCCCACCGAGTACGCTGCGCCCCTTGGTCTGAACCAGGTGTTAAAGGCAGTCAAGGCCAACTCCTGCTCTTCCCTCAAATGTGTAGACCCAAAACGATCATCCGAAAATAACTCGTCAAATCGAAATAGTACTAAAGATGTATAAATACTGAATCTGTTATGTGTATGCTTTAAGTCTGTTATATTATGTTTGTTGAAAAAAATAAAACTTTGTTACATATGTTTGATTGGTATACACAAAATTATTACAGTAAGTATACTTTTTTAAGTGAACACGCTGTAGTTGTTGCTTGTATTTTTTCTCTGTTGTCCCTGTCTTTATAGCTGCATTTATGGTACAGTAAAGAATACTTTCGTCTGAGTAAATATGCAGACTAACTTTATTTTTTGCAGAAGGGTATAACAAAGGCAATTACACTAATTTGAAATAAGTGGGTTCAATTATTACTCGGTGTTTCCACTGCAAAAACACCTGCACCTTTGCTTTCATATAAATATAATTGAAGGCATTCAGTTTTTTTCTCTAGTGACCCTAACGAAAAATTAAGTCCCTGGCACATAAGAACATTTTTTACAATATGTTAAACTTCTTTTTAAAAACACCAGATACAGTGTAAGTATTGAACCATAGTAAATTGTCGTTTAACACCTACAAAAATGGATCTGTAGCTTCTAGTGCGACTTGAAACGCTAAAATACTACTTTAGTGTTCAATTTTTAGCCTAGAAAATCCTCTAAGATTTGTAGAAGGTATGTTTGTGTTTTAAGTCGCCTATTTTACATGACTAATTTTCACGAACCCAACCTTCCCGTTCTGAGACAGAAGGGTGGCTCATCTCCCAGTATAAAGAAACGATCACTTCACGAAGTTTAGTTAATTAAGTTTTATTTACTGCATAAAGTGACGAAAAGACTCCGTCATCGTATGGCATATGGTATACAATTGTTTATATACGGTATTGCATATAGTATGGTGTAGGCCTATGGTGTATGGTGTATGGGTGCAACGAACTACAGACTGGAGGAAAGTAATGTTAACCACGACTTTCCCCTTTACAATACCGTATTGTGGCGTGTTCGTGTGTGTGTTTGTGTGTGTTTGTGTGTGTATGTATGTTGCTCGTTACGGAGGAGACACGCTGAAGATAATTGGACTAATAAAGTCCCCTACATTTACAACAATTAGCAAACTGTGAGATGCTGCCTAACAAGAAAATGTACATCAGGTTTGCTGCTACAAGAATCTTATTAAGTTGACCTTTTACTTGTCTCATAAAATGAAATATTAGACAGTAATCAATGCTGAATTTATTAACGAATACAAATTAATGGATTGATGAATACGTTACACTATACTGAGGGTATTAAACATTTGTTAGTAGACATTTTATATTAGTGTTTTTAAAGGTTATTTTCTCTGGGAAACAACACTTCCATTCGTCCAAGTTATTTTCAGTCAAGAATAATTACCACAACGACAAAGCTAAAATATTCCTATACGAATTGTCTGATCATAAAACATCTTCAGGTAAAATATGGTGAAAGCTAATAATGACATTTTCCACTCAAAACCGTTGTCATTTATTGTTAGTTATCTTCGGAGAAATCCGAGACCCAAGTAAGAGCTGATGAAGGGAATAAATCCGTGGAAATAAAATACATAGAGTAAGACAACCAGGGTCGCAGGTGATTGTGGTAACTGCTGACCGCGGATGAGTGAAAGTAAAGGACAAAACTGTCTGGGCTGGGTCAGAGCGGCCATCTTTGAATATGCCGGACGTTTTTAAGATCTTGTATTTACAAAATTATAAGTGAATTTGTATTCAAGTGAGTTTGCCAACACATATGTGATGTCTGTTGATTAAACATTGGCTGTCTGTGGATCATTTTTGCATTAAACAATCTGTAGTTCTTTAAAAAATGAGTTTTTTGTGCGGTCTGTGGTCCATCCTAAATTCTATAACCTCTGCCAGATTTAAGAGGATGCGGGGTGGAAAAGGAATTGTGTAAATACATATTTAACCTATTGAAAACTGTTGGTTTATTATATACCAAGGGACTTCTGTCCTAAAGGTCTGGGGTGCAATTAAAATACGATCAAAGATAGATAAATCGTATTAAAGGCTTTCAGGTATGCGTTTTAACACCATAAAATCTACGTAAGTCGTGTATAAAGATGTTTTAATGTATTGGTCAACTCCCTGCACTAAAGGTTGTGCAGTAATTTATATTTTTAATATTTATCCTCAAACAAAACACTTTAATGACTCAAAATCCTAGAGTTTTCGTATGATGAAATTGAATCGCCGTCGGTTTTTAAGCGGTGATTTGGGTCAGTAAGTAAAACTCAACTTATTTATCTATATTATGAATAGTTTGTAATTTTTTGTCGAATATTAACTAAACACAATATTTGTCGTGACATTTCATCGTCTATAATCTAGGAGAGAGGGATAACAGGTCTGAATAAAAGATCACATCTACACTGACATTCAAAAGTCTTTGAAATATTCATCAAATTCAGAGCCTGACGGACCAGATATAGAGATAGTAGAAACTGCAGACATATTTGGAAAATTGACTTGGCTCAGTCGTTCGGAGCTGTCCGGGATAAAAGGTGGGACTACTTTTCTATTTAACAGATCCATCCAGTTCACACCTGTGAACCAAAGGTGGGATTTTATCTCTCTCACTCCTCGCCAGAGATTGCCTATCCTCCTGGTTGGATATTTCTGCAATAGTCCTTTCAGCAACTTTCTTAATTCAGGAGAGAAGTAGTCTGGCATCTTGTATTCAGAGTTTGTTATCTGCTCAAACGTCTCTAATTCGTCGTTCGAAGTGAACGGAACTCTTCCTGAAGTCATTTCAGCAATGAGAACGCCTAAGCTCCACCAGTCAACTGCTTTTCCGTGACCCTTGCCTAGAATAATTTCAGGAGCTGCGTATTCGATTGTGCCGCAAAAAGTGTATGTCCTTGTGGTGACCTTTTTGGCAAAACCAAAATCAGTGAGCTTAATAAACCCTAAACGGTCGATGAGAATGTTCTCCGGCTTGAGATCTCTGTGGATGACGTCACAATACTGCAAGAACTCGAGCGCTAAGACCACCTGTGCGGCGTAGAATTTGGATAGTTTCTCATCGAATTTACCAAATATTTGTAAATGAGTGAACACATCCCCTCCTGTAATCAAAGGCATAAAGAAGTATAAATGGAAGTTACTCTGGCTGAAGTACACGAGTCGCATACAAAACGGACAGTCCAAACTTTGTTAAATTCTCATCTCATTTAAAACATTTCGCACGCAGTTCTTCTTGACTAAGAATGTTTTACTTATCGTCTTCATCGCGTACTGTGATTGGTTATTGATTCTTTCCACTAGAATAACCTTGCCAAATCCACCTGTAGCGATAACCTTAAGAAAGTTGAACTCCTCTAAAGACACTGATGTGGATTTATCCAAATAAAAATCGTCGAATATTTGCTTTCCGTCTTTTAAATACCGACTGTAGTCTTTTATATTGAGAGGTCCATGTATTGGAAGTCTCTGAAACTTGCCGTCACGTATTAAGGGAATTAATGGAACTATATAATCCATTCGATGTTGTCACTGTGCCTTCAGTACTTGAAATACCTTTCACATAATTTATGTAACGAAACATTTATCTCTTTATAGTGGATGTTACAATCCAAACGAGTTGAAATAGGTTAACATTAAACGCATATTTTGGATACGTTGTTTGCAAACACCATGTTGTTAAAATCTGTCTTATATACAGCTGAGAATATAAATAGATTCTTAATTTTTATATTGAATTTAATAGGGATAGTATTGAGAAAACAAATTATGAATTTCGTCCATACTGATTTCAATTCAATCTGGCTTTCATGACATCTGCATTTTATATAACAACAAAAGTTATTTTGAGCTAAAGCTGGTGCTTGACTTTAAATACTATTGTAGGCGTAGTGATAGAGATGGTTTATAAGTATCATAAAATAAAAGGAAATTATTCAATGAAGTTATCGACTGAGTCAAGTGTGATTTATAACTAGTACTAGCTGACCCGGCGAACTTCGTATCGCCTAAGTTATAGGTTTCCCCTAAGACAGACCGACCCGGCAGACGTTGTCTTGCCTTTGACTATTTATAATTTAAGTACCGTTACGTTTAATTTTCAAGATGATCTCGTTCGCATCGCTCAATCACGTCCTGGTTGAAGTTCGTTCGCTACGCTCACTCACCTTTGGGTTGGAGCTCGTTCGCTACGCTCACTCACCTTTAGGTTGGAGCTCGTTCGCTGCGCTCACTTGCCTTCAGGTTAGCTCGTTCGCTACGCTAACTCGCCTCCAGGTTGGAGCTCGTTCGCTACGCTCACTCACCTTTAGGTTAGAGCTCGTTCGCTGCGCTCACTTGCCTTCAGGTTAGCTCGTTCGCTACGCTAACTCGCCTCCAGGTTGGAGCTCGTTCGCTACGCTCACTCACCTTTAGGTTGGAGCTCGTTCGCTACGCTCACTCACCTTTAGGTTAGAGCTCGTTCGCTGCGCTCACTTGCCTTCAGGTTAGCTCGTTCGCTACGCTAACTCGCCTCCAGGTTGAAGTTCGTTCGCTACGCTCACTCACCTTTTGGTTGCAAGTTAGCTGTTGTGATAAATGTAAAAGAAATAATAGTGCTGCACCCTGTTGGTAATCCTTGTAACTTTAATGCTATTGAACATCATAGAACAGAACCAACTTGTTTAATTGAAACAGCTGTTAAGATTCATTAATTCCATTTCTCATAAGGTTAACATGGGAAACTCCAGAGCCACTGGGGCGGAGCCCTTTTAAGAATTTCGAAACGGGAAATAGTTTACTTTCTATTCGCATACCTACAGAATTTACACACCAAATTTCATAACGATCGGTGAAGTCGTTCCGGAGGAGTTTGCAGACAAACACTGTGACACGAGAATTTTATATATTAGATTGGCTACTAATATAATGCACTACCTTCCATGTGATGTCTCTTCACTATTTCAGCATTTCTTCAGGTGCCACAATACATAGATAAGTATTGCAGGAATTAACTCCTTTCACCCAAAGGAATAGTAAGCCACATACAATTAGCATAAATTAGTGTAGTACTGTTAATGGGCTATATTTTATTTTGAGTGAAATTTGCTAAACTATAGATTTTATTTTACTGTATGTGGAAACCTAAACTCTAAATAACTTATACTTGGCTTCCCAAACTAGTGTGTTCATACTTATTTCAACCCATAACTTCAACTTCACGTTGAAAACCAACTTCAGACTAATTGCTTTGGTAAAGCCCTTTCTGAAATTAATATTTCTCAGTCTATTAATATCCGCCTAACGAACAATTAGCGGCACGAGACGCGGGATGAGCCGGGCTTTATGGGAATTGTAACGTAACGTAACGAGATCGAGAGTGAAGTAGAGGATTAGCGGCCGTGACCGACGAACACCGAGTACTTTCCCCGGTACTGCTATATCTGTACTCTGTACCCCCCCCCCCCCACAGGCACGGCTTTGCCGGGAAACTGTACTATTCACAACCCCCATTAGCCATAGCTATAAGATATTATTAATGATGTCTTGGTGGTAAAATAATACTGTATAGCTAGGAGGGGGATTTACAATCAAAAGTTTTCATTGATTGAGTTCAAGAGAACTATCTTTTTTAAATTTCTAGATAAGACCTGCAGCTTATAGGACTCCATTCCACTGGGTCTATCACATGAAAACCATTGGTAATCTGGTGGTTAAAACCTATTAGTACGACTCAAGATGAAATGCTCGCGTTCTAACCATTACGTCAGTCATTCCCTGGACTTACAATGATCATTCATCGCTCCAATTCTTCATCAAGAGTTGTATGTGGAAACATCTGTGGTAGTAAAATGTCTGATCGATGTCCATTACTTAATTTATAATTGACCATACTTGTCAAACAAACTCGAATATACCTTAAGATTTTAATCCAACACTTTCTACATACAAAATCGATTTTCTGTCGTCAAAAATTTTTGTTAAGAATGTTGTCAAGAATTTCCTTTTTATTTCCCTTGTTATTATTATTAGCCCTTGTCATTTCCCCTTCCAAAAATCCACTGGTGGGAACCCTAACGAAAAAAGTAAAATGCTTGTCTTCCATCTTTTAAGTAGCTCCTCTGCCAACATTTAAGGTCTGCCAACATTTAACCTTACATTATACTTTTAATTGTTCTCCATTAATAAGTGCTTCCAATAACTGAATTCATACGTAGTTGCAACGCTCACAAACCATGATGCTTAGTTTAGGCAGCACGAGACTGTAGCATAGGGTGATTCCACCTAAGCGACCAACTCTTCTAATCAATCTCAGAAACTTTAAAGCAAGTGGATAACGCATCTGTTCGACCAAACAGGAAAAGTGAGAGCACCTTAAACGGATGGGAATTCCAACCAACCCATTCATAATCCCTACTGGGCTGTGAGAGTGCAAGTGAAGTGGTGTGGCATTACAATCGGCAGTGAAACCATTACTAACCCTCACACATACACACACACACGCACATAACTCGTGTACCATTAGCCACGGGGTTCTCAAACGTCCCGCCCTGCCGCTGCTGCCCAGGTATTGACAATTCCACTTTCTCCTTCTGACATTCCAGGCGCGTGGGAACTATATTGAATGGTGGATCAGCCTCTGGACCGCGGTAGGTTTTCTAACAGGGACGGAAATACGACTCCTCGTTGGCATAAACAAGCGCAGATCTTGAATTTGGCTTTCCCCACGTTTACGGCATGATAGGTCCGTGTTACAGGTCCGATGGGTCGTTGATCTATGTACATTGTACATTGGGGTGTAAAGGGTTTATATTTAGGTATTTAAAGGTGAATTTTGATCGTCTGGTAATCAACAATCCACCTTAGTCATAGGAGTTTCAATAAATGTTCCTGTCTAAAGAACCAACTGATCTAGCCCGTGACATTGCTGCCAGATAATAAGTCAACTCTCATTCGACACTCATTTTTTCATTTGCCTTAGACTACTCAACCTAATGTGTTGACTTCATAAAAATCTAATACAACTCAAATTTTAAATTAATTTCATCTGGTTTTGTTTTGTTTTAATGTCTAGTGAGCCGTGACAAGTCCACACGTCCACCAATGTCACGCCTCATTTTTTATAGTGCGAGTGCTGGCTTTGCAACGGAACTCGGTCGGTTTGGGTCTGGCAGCAACCTGCAACCCAGAGTCAATGTCCGCCTTCTGTCAAATTTTAAACAGAAGGCCGGCGAATTTTGATTTGTTAAGACTTGGTTATCTTCGATGGATATCAGTGTTAATCCTTTTATGTCGCTGTTATTTTTGTTCATCCGTTCATCGTCTACTCAAATCATGGTTTGAGTGTTTTGCAAATGTCGAATGAGGTCCCCGATGTGAGGCTTTACCAGCTGCTGTCCTCGGAGAGGGTCGCCCGGAGGGACACTCCTTCTTCTGCCTCCTTGGGCTGCCAACGGCCCAGCTTCTCCGGGGACCATTAAGCCGCCCTCCGTCTTCTGAAATCCAGATGGACCACCGCCACTAGTGTGAAATGAAATGACAAGAGCCAACTAACGCAAGTTATTTTTGAAAATATAAACATTTTTTGAAAGACTTCATTTCTAAAGGGGGCCCCAAAACTATTTACAAGTCGTTATTTATTTGTATAGTAGCCTACTTGTTATTTATTTAATTGTTAATTTTTTTAAGTTTAATTAATATTTATAGTTACCGGTACGATCTTTTATTTATTCATTGTTAGGCCTAATTTATTTGTTACTGGTACCAGTTTTTGTAAATTCAGAAGGGTAAGTTTTTTGAATTTAAGTATTTTAGTAAATTAATTCTTTGGATGGATGGAATTTGTTGATTTTTGTTTTGTTGATTATTTTGAAAAATTATAGGCTTTGTTCACCTTTTGTCCTGTCTTGTAATTCACCCACGGCCTTTCAGTTTTTAGTTAGGGTTGTGGGGCGGCCACTCGCACTGTCACTATGGGGGACACGCTTCCAATAGTTGTTCGTCTGGGGACGGTGCGAGGGGTCGGCTCACTAGGCCTACACCATTGAAGTTTTAAAAGCCATACATATAATCGACCTTGGACTAATTTTAACACCTTTTTTATTCATTTTCTCAAAGACTCAAACGTAGAAACAGGATAAAACAATTTTACTGATCGCCGTGAATATTCGCAAAGAAAGAATACTGCCTAATTTTACTTCATGAAGCGAGAGAGCACAATGCAGGCTTGCCTTGGCACATTCATTAATTCAATTAGTGACGGCCAACAATTAGTATTGTTGGCAGTAAACACCTTTCCACCGCGAGCCCGTCATCGCTGCGATTTATGACTTGAGGCAATTGGGAGAAAGCATTTGAAGAGGTGCCAGATTCAACTAATTAATGCAGTTAAGTGATCAGTTATCTTCAGGTGCCGCATGCAATTGCTCCTTGGGAGGTAGACGATGCTGATTGGCAAAATAATCTGATACGGACCACGTGGTGTCTGTTTGTACAGTTGGAAAGATAAACTGATTATCATGCATCCATAAACTAATAACAAACTTTGCTTACTGCTTGTATAAGCCTACTTATCATCTTAGTGAAAAGTCTGTGTGTAAAGTATATTACTGTTTGAAACCATTTCTAGACCTTTACCGCGATGCTTCTGAGACCTTACACCTCTTCTGATTCCCTTTATCCAGCGATAGCTTTCAGAATCAGAAATCGGTTTCAGCTATCATTAATCATTGTACCAGTAAATTGATTGAAACAAAAATATCAGCCACTTCAAGCTGTTATTCAATGTAATGTACACTCATTCTTCATTCGTCTCCACTTAGAACTACGCACATGACAGCATCTACAGCGATTCAGTATAGCCAAAGAATTTTAAGTGTGACAGTGACACTCGTTATTCTATGGTGTCACCTATTGTTATCCAACAGTGGCTTCACTAGATAATAGTTTCAAAATTTTCAGCTTTCGTTGTCAAAGGTATCTTACGACAGACTGTTGAACAGTACTCACCTCCCTCCCAAATACAGTGACTTTTCCATAAGAGATCCCAAATCTTCTCCTTTACTCAGGCCGTAACTATTGTACTATATACGCGTTGGAATTTGTTCCCATCCACCCATTGACTGTCGATATTAGCTTAACGACCCTCTTCAGACGCACCCTAAGTCTACATCATGGAAGTATTTTTATTGCCCGACATTCTACTCTGGCGAAAGTTATGAGCGCAGCCCCGCCTGGATTTTGGACCGTCTTCTCCAAACTGCCCGCGGGGTCGGTCAGCCTCAGCGTCTTCGGTCCACATTCCACCAGAGGATCGACTCGTGTTCGGCAATCGAGTGATTAAGCTCTACAGCTTGGCTATCTGAAAGCTGTAAAATGTTTGTTGGTCGTCATGTTCGCCTTTGACTACCAATTTGTCCATGTTGCGAATCGGTTTCTGGAAGGATTGCGTCATTGAAATTCTTTCGAAATGAATTCACTGGTGTCTTTCGGAATTTTCGCGTTAAACTTTCTTTCGTTTATTCTTCAGTTGGTGAAATATTTTACTTAAAACTGCACACGGCTTCATAACTGTGTTTGAACTTGGTGACACTTTTTAAATCAGAAGCATACGTCCTAAATATTGAAGGCTTCACGAGCGTATAGAATCGAGCTTGAGTGTACAAAGTAATCAAGGTAGAAAAGATTATTTTACAAAAATCACCCAATGTTGGATAAGATAAAACATCGACTTCAGCTACTGAAGTAGACACCTTTTGTAATCCAGCAGCCAGTGAACATAGTTGATTGAGCATATACGTTAAGAATGAGTTCTAAAAAGTATAAGTCTAAAATGTATTACAAATTTAACATGATAACAGTGGCTATTTTACGATAGTGTACCTCTCTATTCAGAGCTTCGTGACACTGTTGAAAATATTATTACTCATCGTAATTGACCACTTACTTAGCCAGTACTCAAACCAACTTTACTTACAGTACTCAACTTTACTTACCTTATATTACTCAATATTCAATATTACTATTAGTTTTTTTCTTGATTTTTATGTTTCAAAACAAATCTCACAATAGTGATACACAAACAGAAATCTTTAACACAAACTTACCAACAAAACTATTCGGATTTCCAACTGTAAATGCATTAGTCAATTGAAAAAAATGGAAAATGAAATCTCGGATTGACGTTGCATGACAGTCGGGGAAACCAGTAACCTTACCAACTGCTTCGTCATACCGTCCTCGTTTACCTGGTCGTCACTTTCCCAGATACCGCGTGTCGCTAGTTATGTTTTGTGTTTGTGTGTGTGTCTTGTGTGTCTGTGTGAGAACCCACGGTCCGTGGCGCAGCAGACCTACTGCTCTGTTTGAGCGCAATTAAGGAGCACTAACAGTTTTACGGTTGCTCCAAGCGACTGGTGGAAAACGTGGAGTCATTATGACCCTACCTGTCCCTTCTGTAGGGCATTTGAATATGGACAGGATTATACGGTAGAAAAAAGATTAGGGCCTACAGATCATTATCTCTGGGGTCTCTGACTTTTATTTTTGTCTAGTCTATCCGTGCTTCACAAGGAGTGTGGGCACCTTATAGAAAAGTTTAGGTTCTTTACTTTAGGAGCACAGTTATAGTATTTATATTCACTATAGAATTTCACATATTAAGACACCCTCAGTTTTTTACTAAAGGAAACATAGATAAATGAATATCTCGCTAAAAAATTATCATTGAAGTTATCTATTAAATTGTGACTTATGACGGTTGTTAGAGTCACAAAATGTGCTTTAATTTAAAACTAGAGGACCCACGCTGCTCTGCAGCGTCAAAATAAATATAATATCCAAGAAATAATGAAATTTACGATTTTTTATTGAGTAATACAGTATCTTGAGCTTAACTGATTCAAACGATCAGTAGCTCAAATTAAAGCATATAATTTACTGATTGTTTTGAGTCCAAAACATATAGAAAAACATGTACAATATTGGAGCTATTAGGCTATATATATTAAATCATATAAAACCCTTATTAAAAATAATGTTTATGTTGGTTTTTCACCTTGCGTTTGCTTGAAACTCCTCCGATTTGAATAACTAATAGCTTAAATGAAAGCCAGTATTTCATTAAAGGTTCTTAGACTAAAATATATAGGATTATACAAATATATCCGGCGAAGGTACATCTTAAATTGATGTAAGAATTAGAAAAAAGTAAAATTATGTGTTTTGGTTGAGTAATATAGAAGGAAAATATTTACCGATGCTTTTTGTTAAAACTTGGCATGCATGCCTTCAATTTGAGACCTCAATCATGAAAATCGGTCGGGTAGAAGAGCCTAACAAACTCGGAAAAGAAAAACCAAATTTAACTCCCATAAGAAATACATGGGGAGCAAATTTCGTTTATGCATACACCGAGTGAGATTATACATAATTATATGCCGATGCTTGATGACAAATCTATGCGTGCATACCTTCAATTAGAGGCCTCAATCATGAAAGTCAGTCGGGTAGAAGAGCCAAACGAACTCGGCAAAGAAAAACCAAATTTAACTCCCATAAGAAATACATGGGGGGCAAATTTCGTTTACGTATATGCCGAGTGGTATTATAGATAAATATGTGCCGATGCTTGATGGCAAATCTGTGCGTGTTTACCTACAATTGGAGACCTCAATCATGAAAATCGGTTGGGTAGAAGAGCCAAACGAACTCGGCAAAGAAAACCCAAATTTAACTCCCATAAGAAATACATGGGGAGCAAATTTCGTTTACGTATATGTCGAGTGAGACTATAGATAAATATATGCCGATGCTTGATGGCAAATCTGTGCGTGCATACCTTCAATTTGAGACCTCAATCGTGAAAATCGGTCGGGTAGAAGAGCCAAACGAACTCGGAAAAGAAAAACGAAATTTTTTTAATATATAAGATAAGATAAGCTGTCCTTGTAGTTAGACATAAATAGAAGGTTATTAAAAAAGGTATTTTACAGGAACACATTTTAAAAGTGGAACGATAACATAGCAACAAAAGTGAAACCTTCACTAGGGTCGAAAAGAGCCACTTTACGCCCTAGCGATGATAGTGACTATTTTAGGTTGATGTTGGTTTAGTGTTTTAGGAAAAAGGTAACGAATTCAAAAGGTTATACTAAATAGGTTTTGACGAATAACATAAAAAAACTAGCCATACAAGTTTGCAAAATATAAATATCACGAGTTACATTTAGAACAAAGTATTATCGGAATAATATCCCCGCAACCCATCGAGATATACACCGACATGCTACAACTGTCGTTTTGTTTCATGTTTCCACAATGATCAACCCTGGCAGGAAGGGAACCGCTATGTAACGCAAGTTCCGCCGTGTCGCCCCATAAACACACATCGATTGGCTGGATACGGTTTAGTTTTGTCATTGTAGATGGTTTCGGTTCCCGATCTGTGGTCAAACTGCGCTCCAAAAGGATTAAAAGATTCAGAGACCATCTTTATTACACACTTTATCACATCTTTATTAACACATCTTTATCCGCGTAAGTTTAGGACAGGTTGTTTTGCAGGCAATTTTTAGAAATTGTTTCTTGTGTATCCGATTTTGATTTTCCAATTTTTGGTTTCTGTGTTAGGCATATTGTATCGTCAGAATATAAAACTACTGTTATCCAAATCCATATTGTGATCAAGAAAAGATCTAATGACTGAGCCTTAGAGAACTCCATAAACTCGAGGACAATTTGTTTGGCTGTTAATTGCTATTAAAATAATTGTATGGTTCAAAAGAGGGGGTGATTTCCAATGAAGAAATAGGTCTACAATATAACTGTAGACCTACAGATTAAAGTGGTCTCCGACCTAACAGGTAACATAGGTCTCAACATTATCACATACCGGGATAGAGTGGTAGTTGGCGGGATTTGAACTTGTGCTTTCTGCACAGAAATCTCTTACCCTCAAAACACTTGACCAGATGTTCTCATACCAAATTAAAATCTATCTGTTTCCTCTCATCAAGTTATTTAAGACTCATCCTCTTAAGTTTTAAGAGGATGTTGTGCGAGACCAAGTCACATTTTTTACAACACATTGATCACAGGGGTTTGCAACAAAGTGTTCTATTCATAAACAGTACTGCTTATCAAAACCTCTTTGATAACTGTCTCTTAGGTAATCCATAGTGCTAGGGGGCCGCCGTCCAAAAACTCCTTCTGTAAGGTAACTATTGTGAAACGTTACCAAATTGAAGGGGCCCAGTAACGAGCCAGTCGCGAGCCAATCAACCTGTTCCGCCAGAAGAAAGTTATCATAAAAGCTCCATCACAAGTGGGGACTAGGAATGCTGACTAAATACTAGCCTACTTTCCTTTTCAAGATGAATTTTCAAACGCGGGGGGCCGCAGTGGGTCAGACAGCTGGTGGGGGGCAGAGGGGGTTATTGGAAGGGGGTTCAGGGGGGACGGACTGTTCATTCATCCCACAGTACAGCCTGTCAGTATCAGTTTGCGGTTGGTTAGTGGTGAAGTGAGTGTTTCTAGTGGTTACTGTTCACTGATAATGGTGAGTCTACTTTACCTACATTGTAGTATGTAGAATTAAATATAACTGTGATCAATTATTTCAATGTTAGTGATTTCAGTAGTTGTATATTGAAATGTTGTGTTGTAAGGAATTGCATATTTTTTCAGTATTTGTATATACATATTGTGAATTTATGTGGAGATATACATAATAATAGTACTGGGAATTTAAATAGTAACTGTATCTTGTTGTTTTTAATTCATTTTGATTGATTCGTTGGTTGCTTAAAAAAAGATGCATTTATAAGGAACATAATTAAAGTCAAGACTTTAGTGTATGTTTACGTAAAATTTTGTAAAGGCAGTACGTTTTATTTATGATAGTACCTGTATGAGATGAGAACATATTAAAAATAATACACGCTTGAAATATAGAGTTAGTCCTACTGTGAAACCACTCAGTTAAGTCTCTCTAGTACTAGATATAACACATGTACTCGCATTTACGACGGACATTCGTGCTTAAATGCTACGAATAAAAAAATATTTAGCTATATCAATAAATTATAATAATTATGCTTTAGTTGAGGAGAAGTATTAAACATTAGTACAGTGGCTCATACAACTACGTATTTCAGATTTTTAATCATTTTACCTACGACCATTTTTTTCTTCTTTTTTTAGTAGCCGTTTCAGTTCAATTCTTACAATTGAAAAGTTTCACATAAAAGAATTGTTTACTTTCATATCAGTATAGTTTTCACTCATAACAACACGGACCAATAAGGTTCAAGGATTGAGAGAGAAGAAGTAACATTGTAATGATTTGAGCTTCAAATGATCAGCCAATTCAGGCCAATTTAATTGTTGAGTGCAATTAGTGTTTGGTACAATTTTTCGTTGCATAACTATCAATGAGTGGTTATAACCGAAAACATAACCTCTCTTACAAGTATGATTTTAGTAAAACACTGTCGTAGATAAAGTAGTGTACACAACTCGCGTAAATAGTGTTAACGACACTCGTAATAGTTTTAAGACACTCTCAAAGGCTTGTACCTTAATTTTTTTACTCGTGTCGTTTACACTATCTTTACGCAATCATTGCGTTAACTGCTATACTCATAGAAATTGTAAGTGCTTGGATTAAAGTATAGTCTGATTTTTAGAGAAAGATCTCCCCCCTGAGTGAGACCTTCAGTGTTTATGTACGTTAAGTTTGATATGAGCCATAGAGCCTAGGCATATCACAGAGCTAAACTATTGTCATTATTGTATCAGGATAAGAGCCCATGTCTTCTTAGCAGAAATTACCCTCTAGACCAGTCGTGTCCCTAGTTAATGTATTCTTAATATGATTAGAACTATTTGATTTTAATTTCAAAATAGTATTTTATAATTTGACATAATTGTATACATCCAAAAGACTATTATTTTGTTTCGTTTTGGTTTTTTTAATTTGGATTATTATTTAATAACTTACAATCAGGATATATTTGGCATAAACCATAATCAATTGTAGAAATCGTAAGTAATTATGTAATTGTGTCATTTTCAGTGTAGTCGATTACGATCGATACAATTTGTCTTTCAGATCAAAGTATTTATTCTTGAACCAAATATTTAGTGTTAGGGATAAACAAATCTTATATCTTAGAGTTAAATGTGTCTTGGAATAATACTTTTTGTATACAGTACAAACTAGTTTGCCAAAAAACAGCAATATAGACTTGTTTAGTAGCACGTCGATTGTTATAGCAGTATTATCAATGGTTATAGTCCATAAATGTTAAATTGGGCTTTCAAAACATGGTTAGTTACATATTTGATAAATTGTTTAATCCAACCAGGATTAAATAAAGGACAGTATTAACACTATCTTTGAACTAGCCTTGTACTCAATTTCGGTCAAAATATTGCTCTTACCTTTCTGGCAAAAATATTATGAAGGCGTTTGTTGCTAACCCCTATTCATTTTACCATCCTTGTCGACTTGTTAAAAGGAACTATATAAAGTCTCTATTTATTAGCTTTGTGTTTTAACACATTAGAATTGATAATTGTTGTTAAAGTATAAGTTAGATAAGCTTTATAAAATCTCTAGAAAGCCCGAATGAAACATAAGGTTTGCTGTTTGCATAAAATACTCGAAGAATATCTTTAAATTAAGTTAAGGAGAAGCTTTATTAATCAGATAATTTTTAATTTGATTTTCAATGAGTTGACGATTTGTTTAGTTAAAATTTGCACCTGTTCAAAGCATGTCTTACCGATAAGGTTTGCTTAAGTTTTATAAAATCCTAAATCTTTAGTAAAACATATTTTAAATTTTTAGCGTGCTTATAAAAGTGTTGTTAAACTTAACTTTAATGTAATTTGACATATTTGCCTATAGAACATACCTAGCTATATATTTATTTATTCATTTAACTAGTTATTGTCTATAACTAAATATTTTAGTCCGGTAAATCCGTTGTAAAACCATGTAGACAAAAATAGCCTACAAATATTGCTTGAGCGTTCCGAGATATTCGCATAAAATAGCGAAATGTTATGGAAACCTTCCTCCCTAGCATTATTTATCACATTCCGCACGGGAAACGTTGGAAGAACAGGCTTATCCATAGCCGTCTCTAGTATATATACTACAGACGGCTATGGCTTATTCCAACTCCGCGCAGTGTTAAAAAAAAATCCCTTAGAAACTAAATATTTTAGTCCGGTAAATCCGTTGTAAAACCATGTAGACAAAAATAGCCTACAAATATTGCTTGAGCGTTCCGAGATATTCGCATAAAATAGCGAAATGTTATGGAAACCTTCCTCCCTAGCATTATTTATCACATTCCGCACGGGAAACGTTGGAAGAACAGGCTTATCCATAGCCGTCTCTAGTATATATACTACAGACGGCTATGGCTTATTCCAACTCCGCGCAGTGTTAAAAAAAAATCCCTTAGAAAGAGTAACTGTGAATTTATATGTTCCAAAGTATACAGTACATAATCATTAACATAGCATACATATTCTAAGCTAACCTAACTTGTTATCTGAATTAAGTAGCTATGGTCAAACAAAAGTTTAACATTACTTTTGTGACACACGGTATGTATAGGGTTTTGAGATAGTTATGGGGAGGAAGAGGGTGGGTGTTAGCTGAGTATAAAAATCAAACCAAAACTTGAATATTTTAAAGTAAAGAAAATAGTTAATTTTCAATGCGCTCTAGCGGAGGTTATTTCTAATCGTGACTAGTGCAATTTGAAGGAAATGTTATCAACTTAAATTTTTATATGAGGTAAAAGTCGCTAGAATTCATATTGGTTTTCGACTTATAACATGAAAACTGAAAAAAGCTTAAATTTCGCAAATTTTTGCGAATATCTCAGAATGCTCAAAAAATATTTGATGGACAACTTCAGATTTGGTAAAGCACTTCAAAAAACATAACTTTCAGATTAAATTCCTTTTACGCCACTTTTCTCACCGTTGGATACGGATTGACTGTACTTAATCTGTCTATATTCTTTGTTTTAAAGGGTTCTCAAAACGATTTTGTGTTTGAGATATCCTTAATACTACCCATTAACCACATAATATACTTGAGTCGAAGGTTACAACAATTTTGTTCATTAAAAGAATTCCAGTTTTTTTTTTTCAAACAAAAATTTATTTAAATCCACAATAATTTTTATCCACATGTTTTTCACCATCGCCCACTGGGAGGTAAGCTACGCTTTTAACTTCGGTGTCTTGAGTCTGTCGTGGTACACCGTACCTCCGCAGTGCAGATCCTCGTCTTGTCTTCTTGACGGTATTCTGGGGCAATGCCCGGCGATGGCTGATCATGAGGAATGGTCGAATTCTTAGGTCACAATAATTTTAATCCTCATGTTTTTCACCATCGCCCACTGGGAGGTAAGCTACGCTTTTAACTTCGGTGTCTTGAGTCTGTCGTGGTACACCGTACCTCCGCAGTGCAGATCCTCGTCTTGTCTTCTTGACGGTATTCTGGGGCTATGCCCGGCGATGGCTGATCATGAGGAATGGTCGAATTCTTAGGTCACAATAATTTTAATCCTCATGTTTTTCACCATCGCCCACTGGGAGGTAAGCTACGCTTTTAACTTCGGTGTCTTGAGTCTGTCGTGGTACACCGTACCTCCGCAGTGCAGATCCTCGTCTTGTCTTCTTGACGGTATTCTGGGGCTATGCCCGGCGATGGCTGATCATGAGGAATGGTCGAATTCTTAGGTCACAATAATTTTAATCCTCATGTTTTTCACCATCGCCCACTGGGAGGTAAGCTACGCTTTTAACTTCGGTGTCGTGGTACACCGTACCTCCGCAGTGCAGATCCTCGTCTTGTCTTCTTGACGGTATTCTGGGGCTATGCCCGGCGATGGCTGATCATGTGGAGTAGCCAATAATTATAAACTCGTTCATTGTCGTATTTCACTGGAATTTTGTTGTAATTTGGAGCAAGTGCTAGTAGTCATCACTTGCTAGGTCTCTCTCCACACTACTATCTTCGTCTTCTAGGACCACCTGCTGGCGCTCCTGGGTTTTCATTTTTTCTACATACCGGTGGCGTATAACAGTAATCATCACCGCGCCCCCTACGACTCCTAGGTAGGAGTATGCACTGAGTTTTAGAAGAAGCGGTAATTTATATCTATACATGTTTCCTAATTGTTTGAATGATTGATTAAAAAGTATGTTGTTTCCTAGGCAATTTTAACCCATTTCAGTATTCACAATTTATTTTATCTCCAACGCTACCAATTCTACGAATGGTGTCTTGTATTATATTTTTGACAGAGATTTAGTTTTCTCTACTACTTTTGAACATTAATACTTTGATGGTTATAAAGAATTACGATTATTATGTGTAAATCATAAGCGTTTTCTTTGTGTTGGTTTATTTAAATTTTTTATCCAATTATTATTTTATTTTGTTTGCACTGTTTTTTATCGATGATCTTCGCAAATAAAATTTGTTTACGTTAAAACAACCAACATTTTACAAACATTTTAACT